CAGGCTCCTCTCAGAAGCACACAGTAAATGAATGAGAGGCAACGGTCACCAGTTTCTGTGGGAGAAACTGACTGGACGTAAGGAGAAAATTCTTCCCCATGGGAGGGGTTAAACACCAGGAGCAAGAGACCAGCGAGAGTGCAAATCTCCATGCTTGCAGATTTTCAAACCTTGACTGGAGGCCCTGAGCAGCCTGATCTAATGTTGAAGTTAGCCCTGCTTTGAGCAGGGGGTTGGACTGGAAATCTCCGGAGGTCCCTTCCAAGCTGGATCAGTATATTATTCTAGCAACGCTATGAATTCTCATTCCTGACTTCCAGAATTATTTGACTTCCTCTGACAGAAAATGTTGAAGTCTGTACTTGCTGCCATTACACATCAGTGTTTACTCAGTGACCACAGTGTACTTCTGAGCTACTGCAGTTATTTCATCCTAGTATATGGGGATTGTGCAGCTGTGCATTTGAGATCACTCTTTGGTAGGTGTGGATAGCCTTTGGCCTCACCACTATGCTTAATGGCAGGTGCCATATAGGATGGCTCAAATACCTTGTAATTTTGATGTACAATAAGCTCTGTAAAGCAGAGGTGAATGTTGTGGAAGATAGCAACCAGAAAAGCTGGGTTGTTCTAGCAATGGGCGAGAGGCTTGTTTGTACTACTTCTCTAAATGTAGAGTTGTTTAATTTCCCAGCACTGCTTCTTTTGAAGTGAGTGTTCAAAACACTGCTGGTGAACTGAAAAAATCAAAACCTTACTATAATGTACTGAAAATATTAAAACCGATATGGAAATGTTGTAGCTTGTACGGTTTTTCTATTCTTAATTGTTCAAAGTAATAAAATTAAAATCCTAACAAGTGATAGAAATAATTAGAAGTGAAGGGCTTCTGTCTGTCTGAGGACTCCAGATAAATTTGTAATAAATGAGTGGAAAAATAATAGTTACAATTTAAATATAAAATCCCTGGTTTTTTTGAAGTTTAGTATTCAAGAGGGAGGGAGACAGTTGCCTTTTAAAATGTGAAAAGCTTTTTATGTTTAAGAATGGTGCTAGCAATATAAATACATTCAACCACCAACACTTAGGTTTCTTTCTAGAACGCACCTTTTTCTTGATTTGTTCTTTATACCGTAAGCAGAGGAGCAGCATCTGCAATAAAAAATAGAAATCCAAAAATAAGGGGTTTTCTCCTAAATTAATGTTCTCTAGCTGGAGGAATCACTACTAAATTGAGGAACAGCAATACTTTCTTGCAGAGCGGTATTTGGGTTGTACCCTGACCCGTTACTGCTTTGTGCAGCCTGTCTCCCACTCATCTAGCTCCTTTTGCGTATCAGGGTTTGAAATGAGAAAAGGTTAAGAACAACTAGTGGAAATGATATGCCCAAGTTGAGTGATGAGTTGATGACACAACGGTAAATAAATCTCTATGATCTTCAAAGTTGAAAGTATTTTTATCATACATTTGGGTCTCTTGCATAATACTAGTGTGTGGTGTGTTACTAGCTGAGTGGGGGCATAAAATTCTGGTCTTGATCTAAACTTTGCCAATGATAGACATAGTCCCCCGCTATGAGTTCAATTTAAAAAGTCTTACTTCTTTCTAGTCTTGCTCTCGGTGCTCACCCTATTTTTCTTGGCCACACATGGCATTGGCTGTGCTCTTGGCTGACCCACCATGGTGATTTTCCAAGTCCCTTTGTAACTTCACTGTTTCTCAAGATAGTTGACCATCTTGTTAGCATGGCCTGGATGGATACTTGGACTTTAAAGGCAATTGTAAACTACTACTGCTTGTGTTTCCAAGTAGTCAGCAGAGCTGTTGTTGTTATTACTGCTCTTCCTATTCACTTTCTGCTTCCCTTTCTTTGCCATCCATCTCTAACTCTTAATCTCCCTGCTTCTGGAGAGCAAAGCCTTTGTGATGACAGTGTCGATATATGCTGAAAAAGAGTTTTAAGAACTGATCTTTCCCAGGATAGTAAGGTGAAACACAAGCTTGTCAAGGTTTTTCTTGTAACAGTTCCATTGTTAGATCTAGCTGTAGTGTATTTTTAGTTTTGTGCATTCTTTGTAGACGTCTTTGCATCATTTTAGTTGCTTGTGCTACTGCTCTGTGGTAGGTTATCTGGCACACAAATTAGACATCTTTTAATCTCATATATTGTATTCTGAAATATAATCTGGGGTGCTGCTTTATAGCTTGCTTGTTGCCAGGACTTAAATCACCTTTCCATAAGTAAAAAAAAAAAAGAAGGGAAAAATGTTTGGTTTCTTTTTTTTTTAACATAATGTTTATGCTTGTTGCCAACTAAACCAATGGGAGACTTTACCTTGACTTCCATGAACTTGGATTGAGCCTGTAGTTACTTTCCAGACCCAAACTGTTCTGAACATTAAAGCTTTTCTCTTGTGCTCTGTCTTGATAATTGGCAGTAATGGGAAATGAAATATTGGAAAAGAAAACAGTGGTTAGGTGAGGCTTTACTGGAGCGGGGCTGCCTTATGTTAAAAGGCTCCAAGTGTGCATAACGTTGAAACTTGCCTGTGTTATTTACTTGTAGAGTTCAATCACTGGGAAAGTGACATTTGTCAAGGACATAACTTCCAGCTTGTCTGACTGCAAATACGAAGTGTCAAAAAGGACATCCAAAAAAACCACCTGACAAACCCCACCAAAAAAAAAAAAGTAGTTTTTTCCAGAAGAAGAAAGTTCAGTGCATAACAATATGGGGGTTTGGGGTTTGGGTTTGTTTTTTTTTTTCTTTTTTAAATACAGTAAATGATTGTTTCTCGATTTTTTTTTTTTTCTTTTTTAAATACAATAAATGATTGTTTCTCAAAAGACGTGTTTGAGAGCTGTATGTTGGTCTTAATAATTAGTTTTGAGAATAACTAGCTTTTTAGGAACTGGGAAGATAAAAATAGAGCCGAATGATCTGAGTGGAAAGCTTTAATTTTTTGTTGCTTGTGTTTTCGATAATACTTTTCCTGAATGTCTTGGAACCTTTTTAATGTCATTTTCCTGCTTGCTTTCAGTTCTTCCCTCACTGCATTTTCATCTCTCAGCTTCTCAGTTTGACAAATGTTGTTCCTGATCTTGTTCTTGCTTTGGTGAAATTGCTGACAGCTTTCAGGGCAGTGATGAATGCCTGCAACTCCCCTGAAGTGACTGGGGGGGTTAAAGTGCCTTTGGAGTTGGGAAATTTGGGGTTCATCTCTACCTGCCAAAGGAAGAAGATAAAAATTAGCACTTACACTTCTGCCAGAGGTTTCCAAGCTGTGTCTGCATGCCTGCTGAGCCTTCTCTATTTGTATGTACTCTGGCATGTCAGCTTTTTGGGGACAAGCAGATTTGGTTTTTTGCTTCATCTGTGGTGTGGTTTTGTGATGTGTTATGGCCAAACTTCCATAACTGTTCACAAATAGATACTGGGAAGAAAGAGGATGGATAGTGCTTTGTGTTAAGTGATAGGAACCCCGTAAATGCTGTTGAAGTTGCAGCGCTGGTGGGCTTAGGAGGTTCAATCCTCTGTGATTAATACTGTGACACAAATTCTTTCTCAAGACTGAGCTGTATCCTAAAGACTGGCAGCAAGGGCACGCTCGCATCATCCATGCAGAGAAAAGAATTTCGTTGTTAGGGACTTCTTGGCAAAATTTTTCAGGACGAAGGAAAAAGTGCAGCTTCCTCTTAGAAACTGCTCTGAATTTAAAAAGCCTGACTGCCCCAAAGCTGTTTCAGGGTCATTCTTGACCTGGAGGCAAGCAAAGTAATACATTGTTGATAGACGTTCTTTCAGTATAGTTAATATTTACTGGTATTAGGGGACCAGACCTTGGCTTGGCTGTCTACTTACTGTATCTCCTTGCTTTTCATTTTTAATGTTTAGCTGGCAGGTTTGCTATAAACTTAAATCCCGAAGTGCAAGCAAATGTCTTATTTCACTATTAGTATCTTCAGTTATTAGGGAATGATTTTTCTTTTTTTAAATTTTAAATCTCTGTATGCAAAACATGCTATTTCTAGTTTCTTACAACATCAGCACTGAGGTTTTGGAAACTGCAGAGGGATGCTGGTTTTTTGGGGTTTTTTGGGGGGTTTTTTTTGTTGTTTGTTTTTTTGGTTTGATTTGGTTTTTTGTGGGGTTTTTTTTTTTTTAGTAACTGTGGAAGTGCTCTGTTAAATAGTTAGAAAAACAAGTAAACTGGGAGAGATGCAGTGTTGCTTTTATGCACTGATTTGTCATTCCTGGTGGCTTTTGTCCATGTTTGGTTTTATGATATAAATGGAAATTCGGTTCCTCAGTCTAGTGCCCACTGGATGTCAGCTGGTTACTATTGAAGTGCATCAGCAGAGAAATGTTTCCTATGGCCTGTTTACGTTTCAGCATGTCTAGATCCCTGTCTGTTACTCTGTTGCTTGTATAAAGTTATTTTCCTTAATTTGAGCCTTAATTGAGCATTAAAAAACCCCCACACTCTTTAGAGATCAAAAGTACCTTTGAACTGGCAATAGCTTTCATTAATCTGATGGCTATGTTTATTTAAATTGTGTATTTACGTAACGTAGCAGCTATGTAGGCTAGAAGATGAGGCCTCCTAAGCTTTTTCAGCTATGTCATGACATCACTTTAGGCAAATAAGACTTAAGCCCTTTCTCCCTATTTATAGAATTTGGAATAATGTTTTGTTGGTGTTTCTTTAATGAAAAGAATAAAGACAATCAAACATCATTGTCAGTATCTTTTTCTAACGTTTTCTACTTGATAATCCTCTTATTTTGTGATAAACTGTGTTTTGATTTTTATTTAAGGAACTGTGTTTTAACTAACTTGTTTGATACATATGCTCAAAATATTTGAAGACTGCTCATTAAATCTGAGTTGTTCGGATCTTGGACCCTTTTTATATATTGAATTTTCTTTTAGGAATAGAAATAAAGAAATACTACTTAAACGTTTTCTGCTTTGAAAGTGTTTATGGATAGAATCATCATGGTGTTCAGACACTTCCCTAATCAAAGAGAAGAGTCCCAAGAGATGAATGAATTGACCTTTAAAAGTTGTCACGTGTTCTCCTTCCAGGTGTCAGCGGTGGACTCCTTGGAGGGTCCCCTTCTTCAGGTGGAGGGATTGAGTGATCTGAGACTGGAGCTCCACAGTAAGAAGATGAACATGCACTTAGTCCTGATAGATGAATTACACCGTCATCTTTACATCAAATCAACTAACCGAGTAGGACAACGCAACAAGGAGAAAGGGAGAATAAGGTGGGTTTGGTGTGATGCTAACTGAGGGCAACAGGTCTGGGAGGGAAGAGGACAACATTCTCCCTTTCATAAGTAGAAACTTTCTTGGGAGAGTGCCATCGATTTACACCTCAACCTTTCATTTTTGGCAAGCAAATTTCTCATGCTTACGGCTGTGGAGAGCAGAAAAACTTCAAATATGTTGATGCACCTTCGAGCCTGTGAACAGTCTGTTCTCGTTCTTTCACTTTTGCTTCGTGATTCTGTTGTTTTTTTGCTGCTTCCCACAGAATTGTGATGAGGTCAATTCCTTTTAGCATTCTTTTCCTTCTCTGATGCATATACCTTTCCTACAAATGTCATGATCCTGCAGCTCAGGTCAGGCAAAGGGAAGAACACAAGGAAAAATTGCTCATCTTTTCTTAGCAGACATCCAAGGTTTAAAAGACTTCTAGCTAGCCATAAGGTTACTAGCTGGAGGCTGCAATATGGAGGTGCCTGAGCAGTGTCTTCGCTGTGTTGTGTTTCTAAGGTGTTTGAAAGATGTTGAAACTTCTTAGCTGGTTGGTGCCTCTGATCAGTGGAAATCCAGCTTAAGTATAGGTGCCTGGCTATTTTTTCCTAATTTTGCGAATTCTAAGTTTGAGGGCAATAGAGTTTTTGGGAGGGAAGGAAGAAAGATAACGGCTGGAAAAGAGAGACACAATATTGGAGGATAACTTTTGTAGAGTAGGAGAGGTAATAAACAAGGGCGAGGAGCAAAAGGGGGGCCAGCATATGATAAAGATGCAGAGAAAAGGTAAATCAGCATTTTATTATGAGAAGGAATAAAAAATGCTTACAGAAATAAGAGGAGAGTAAGTTACGTTAAATGAATTTATGAAATAAAGGATTGATTGAAGTTGAAATTTCTAGGAAGGAGGGTTGCTAGCAAGTCATCAGTCTCTTCCTTACTCATCTTGTTAATCAAAAACAGACACAAAGCTTTGGTGTACCCAGATTATGGGACTACTAATTAACTGCATTTTTTTATGACTGCTACAGGGACCCTTATCTTTTTCTTGTTTTCTATCTTTTTTGACGTTCCCTGTTGCACATCATCGATATTTGATAACATGAACTCTTGCATCAAGGACAGTATTGTTGCTTTGTTTTAGTGTGCTGCCCTAGACTGACTGCTGACCAGGGTGCAACAATGTTTATAATTCTTTCTTGTATTGGTTTTAAGTGTGTTCTATTTAACATTGCTAAGCTGGAATGCATAGCTAACCCCTGTATAAGTATGGTGTTGTAGGTGTATGGGGAGTATGAGTGCTTCTTATGCAGGATAGTAAGCTTAGCCCTTGTCTTTGCAGATTTCTATAAGCATTTTGACCTCTAAGGGAACATACTGAACTCCATTGTAGGAGCCTTCTCCACTTCTTTCTCTTAAAAATGATTTCCTGCTTGCGTTCCCCTGCCGCATCCAGCTTCATGCCTTTCATTATGCAGCTGGGGCAGCATGACACATTTTTGGCAAATAATACTATGTGAATTTATTATGAAAATGACCAAGTAGAAAGTCTTTTCTTTTGGACTAAGGAGGTTCGTTTGGAGAGGCATGCATGTAGGTGTGCACAGGCATTTGAAGGGGAGGAAAAAGGGTGGAGGTTTCTAGTGGGAACTAGAAAAGCTTGAAGGATTTAGTGGTTGACAGAAGCCATGGAAATGGGAGCATCTCTTCTCCTCAATACGTAGTTTTCCAGAAAGATCTTAACAATTCCATGTTAATTTATTATCACGCTAGCAGTAGTTAATTGTGCTGGAGGTGAATGTGTCTGTTGGGAACTAATCACGTGCTATGGCAAGCTCCAATGTGCCTCTGTCCTGATCGTGTTGCTGTGACCAGTCAGACAAGTCTAGAGTGCTATTAAATTCAGAGAGGCCTTGGGATACCAAATTTTGTCTTTGATATGACAGTGTTCCCTCATCATTGCTTTTTTGGCTTTTTCCCTTTTCACTCAAATGTGTATGTATACACACTCACTCACATTCATCTGTGGACTTGTGCTTTAAGTTAGGTTTGGTAAACCTCTTGTATCAAAACTGTGTGTTATGTCTATCTGTTGCTTGGGCTTACAAATTTAAGAAATAAATGGATTATTTGTTGTGAACTAAGATGGTAAATAACAGTAAACTGTTTGCTTTAATTCTTTCCCCTCACACAGTTCACTTGTGAAAGATGCCTCTCCTGTACCTCTTATGGATGTTACTAACTTGTCTACACCTCGAAAGTTCCTTGAAACTTCCCAGTTCAGTACTCCTGGAAGCTCCAGCAGTGAGTATTTAAGTCACATGCATTCCTCACAGAATTAATTTGTAGATCTTCAGCTGATTTTACAGGAGTAGGAGTAGGCATATCATACCTCTTCATGGATGGCTGCTGGTGGGAGGTCCTGAGAGAAAAAGTTAGGAATTGATTTGTGCAATGTCATGAAATGAGTGAGTGGTATGTCCAGGGGCAGAACTTGGCCATATTTGCATTTTTCTTTTGGCAAATCACCCTTCCCCCCTTTCCCCCCACCATCAGCTTCAATTAAATACACTTAGTTGTCTGTGCCTGTTCTGATCTTACCATGTTCTTGATACCTTGGGCAGAAGAGATATCTACAGTCAGTTCAGTTTGCATAGAGGTTTCCTCTGCATTATTTAATGTAGGCAGGCAGGTATGTGTAGATGTTGCGGAAGTTTTTTTGCTGTGTTGGAGCCAAAAGGTCAAAGCTTTTCCTTGTGGGAACTTTGTAACTTTGACTAAAGGTCTCTCTATACAGAGGAATAATCTGGTGGTGATCTTTGTATACCTATTGCTCCAACAAACGCTGAGCGAAACACTCAGTTTCATTGGTGCTTTTGTATGAGGCTTTGAAAGTGCTGCGCAGATGGGGAATTAATCCTTGTATTTTTTCAGAGGATTAATAAGTGGGCTTGTCCTTGTTTAACAAATGAATAAAATGAATAATACAGAAGTGACCTACATCTCCCCCCTTCCTTTCAAAACTTGACTGTTTCAGTATTCCGCAAATGCAGAGAATCTTTCCTTCTCTTCTCATCCTTATTAATTCTTTTGTCCCTATTTTTGTCTGCTTGTTTCTGTTTTTTCGTGTCATGCTTCCTAGACTCTTTCGTTTATCATTCTTATCTTTTGCTCTTGTAGAGGTTTTTGTTATTTAGCCCTGCTCCTGTAGGGTTGGCTAGTCTCTCAGAGCCTGAGGCTGTATTTCTACATAGTGGAGATTTATGAGGAGTCACTTGTGACACGCCAATGCAAACTTTCAGAGCTGGAAACTGCAGCTTGGTCGTGGAAACCTGGAAGAGAAGAACCGTGTGAAAATTCTGGGGAAAAAATTTAAAAGTTCCTGTTCTGTCCCTGTGATCATTGAGAAGTTCAGTTCAGTTTCTTGCTAAAGATGACATGATTTTGGGGAGCTGAGGAAATAAACCTCCCACTGAATCCCAGTCTCACTACTGTAAATGTTAACTTACTTCCTTTTCGATGAGTTAGTTGTATAGCGTCTGCCACTATTTTCCACCTAAAATATTAGTTGTTTGTATAGTAAGGAAAAAAAAGAAGTCTGAGGTTATGCAGCTGATAGGGATCTCCCATCACGCCTTACGATAGGGGAATAGACAGCAGGAGATGTACCTACTGAAGAATGGAAATCCTATCTTTCTTTTAGTACGTTTAGGGTCTTCCTTAGTGGTTTTTTTATTGCTAGTGTAATATTAACCTTAAATATGCTCTGAAAAGTATTTTGTTGGCGCTTGTCACCTTTGAAGACTTACAGAGCCCAGCCAATCGTTGATGCATCTGCTGAGATTGTTAAGAGATTTGTTATTATCCAAAGCTGGCCAAGAAGTTTTTTTCCTAGCTGTAGCCAGTGTAAACCTGTTTGTAAAGATAAATGCATTTTTAGTGTTCATGCTGGACTACTGCAATTTTATCTGTAAAGCAAAGTCCCAAAGGCATCCTGCTTTTTCAGAGCCCATGACTCCATGAGCAGTGACCCCAGTGTGCCCGTTTATGTACGGCCCTTTTCCTTGAGCAGAGTCCCGTTCAAGTTTACTGTGCTGATTTTCAGGGTATAGTTCTTGTACTGAACTGACTGTGATCATCCATGACAGCCTTGCCCACCATGATTATGACTTTGTATGATAACAAGGTTATAGGAACAAACAGTGTCATCCAGTACGTGGACTCACAGTTGTTGGTTATGGAGGTCTTCTGAGGAGCAGAACCAAAAATAACCAACTTCAGCTTCGAAGTAACAAAACTGCTTATCTTGCTGCAGTTGCAACCAAATCTAAATTCCAGATTTTGATAAAACTTCTCCAGAATGAATTGAAAGTAAGCCCGGGTTATCCATCTGACAGTGATGTTTATAAACTTTCCTAAGATACTTTCTACAAAGCATGAGTGATGTGCATTAAGATAGAAAGGTAAACCAGCGTGTGAAGGATGCCTCTTCTATAAAGAAGGAGCAAAGTGCAAGATACTGATTTTGATTCCATTTTTTTGGCAGAGATGAGGCCAAGACTCTTTTTCACCTTCTGTTGCTTGGAATAGGACATTGGACCCTTATTTAATGTATTAGCTCCAGTTAGAATATTGAGGTTTGGGATTTGCTTACCTGGGCCATTCAGACATATCTTTTTATACAAGTAGTGAGACTGTGTTTTCAAATAAAAAAGATTATTAAGTTATTCCTTTTTTTTGGTGGTTCCCCCCACAGTATACCAGGCAACATTTGCATATGTAAGAAGAGAAAAAGGTGTGTTATAATCACTTGCGACAGCAGAACAAGAGGTGGTACTAGCATTCCTACAGCATAGCTAGATAAGTGTTTTCTGACTCATTTGAGACTTCTAAAAATCAGTAAGTTCTAATTTTATTTGCTCAATGCGATGTTCATGGTGTTAAAAATCACTTATCCTAACATGCCCTGATAAACAGTTATTTCATGCCGTATTTGAATGAAGGTTCTAGGGTACAAGCAACAGGTAAGAACCACAGCAGCGATCTTTAAGAACCAAGTTGTTTGTGAACATGAAACGGCATCGCTCCTTTCACTCCAAATGCCTGAAAACAAAGGCTCTGATGGCTTCATCCTCAACTCTAGTAAAATTGGTATAGGTCAGTTGAGAATCTGTCTTAAAAATTCTCGTTTCTGCAGATCTGTTCTTGCTCTTCATGCCCAACACACCAGAAAATGTCTTAACCTGGCTCCTCGTTACACTCTGTATCATTCAGTGAAGTGCTGGGCAAGTGTCCTGCAGACTGGGAAAGATGTAGATTATAGCAGAAAACATTTGATTAGCATAAAGTATGCATATGGTTTTGCTTCAAGTGCACAATGTACTTATGTATATTTTTTCCACATAATTTTATTTAAAAGTAGCCTTTTCCAGGACTGCGGAACTACCAGACAATTTAAAACTTATGTGTATGCATAACGAAAGCTGTTTCTACCTTTAGTCATTTAAGTTTTTTGGCTTTTTATTGATGAAACAAAGTGGCCGTGCATATTAATGCATGTCATTATAAACCACTGACTCATTCAACCCATCTCAGAAAAGATGCCAAAATTTTGAGTCCTTTCAGCATTCACTTCCCAAAGGAGATGTTACCTTGTGCTGTAGAATCTTTATAAGGAAATTAAAGCTGTTCCTGCTGCACTTAAAATAAACAAAACCTTCAGTAATGTTCACCTGAGGATTGTAGATATGGCAGTTCACCAGTAACGTTTTCCCTTCATGTCAGTTCAGAGAAATAAATCCACTTTTAAATTCTATTTCTCTGCTTGAACCTTCTGTACTCTGAAGAGTATTTATGAAGGTTCCTGCATTGCCAGGCTCTTCCTGGAACTATAAAACGTGCTCACCCAGTACATAGCAAACCCAAGAGCGCCCTTTCCTGAAAAATTCCTGGTAATATTTTTTAGAAATCTGACAAAGATGAGCTGAGGTGATGACAATTAATATTGTTATTGATGGCATATGTAAATTTTATGCTGAACAGATAATATACTTCAGTGATGCATACTTCTCAGCTCTAAGAGAAAAATGTAGCTTCTAGATCCAAGCAGTATGGTGGCTTCTAAGGTCAGGTCTAGTTACTGCTCCTGGCTCTGTTTCTTCAAGAATGCAAGTACTTCCGTGGAGGTGAAAACATGTGGAGACCTGTGAACTTGGCCCTGCAAAATACCTGCAGGAGCCAGAGCTTTAGGGTCCAACTTTAAAGGTGTCTCTAAAAATGCCATTGTGGCATTCTCTGTTTGTTGTCACAGTTGCTGCCACTTCAAACATGCTCAACAAATACATAAAAGATTCTTTTTTTTTTCCTGTTAATCTCACCTGAGGATCTGACACCAGCTGGGTGATTTTTCTCTATCATTTGTAATAAAAATTAAATGATCCCCTCACTGAACCAGAGTTTTCCTGTTTTAGCTGTTTTGCATTTGCACAAATCCAACTGAGGACTTGATCGGAAGGTGATGGGAATCCAGCGGCGAGTCTGATTCTCTCCCGCTGTCATTGCAGTGCTGCAAAAAAAGCAGAGTTTGTTCTTATCTCAGGGTAAATTTCTGCACCTAGAATGTTTAAGAGGAAGTCTGTTCCTGCAGTTTAAGAAGGGTTTGTAGCTACACAATAAACATGAAAGCCTATGAAGTAACTTTTTGTGTGTCTGTTTTTGCAGGACCACGATTTCTCTCACTGGTCCTCACTGATGGTTCGTGTTCCGACTTGATGCTAAGCACTGATGCGTGTAATCTGTGTGTGTGTTTGGGGAAGGGAAAGTCGAGAAATTTTAGATCCTTGTGATGAAAGCCGAAAGGGTAATGCTTAGTCAGTCTTCCTGTGTAATTACATTGGTTGTTCTTATACGTGGTCCCAACTGAAGATATTTGACTACCATGCACTTATTTTTTATTTGGAGACTTGGTTTTCATGCTTGTGTGTATTAGGAGGATTTTGAACGTGGCTTACAGAGTTGCTTTGTACAGTTTTCTCAGAATGAAATGTTGTTATAATGGATTTGAAAGAGTAGCCTTGTCAAATTAAAATGCCTCTGTTTTTGAAAGACTAACATCCTTAAAGCTGCAGATGGAACTGAGTGAACAACAATTTTAGAAAGAGGATATTTGCTTTGAGGCTTTGAGGTTATTGATCTCCGAGATCCATTTTCTTCTGGGCTTGGTAGTAAGGCAGAGAAGAAAAAGACCAAAATTTTTAAAGGACCCATTTCTAAAGTAACTGTCCGTTTGTTGCTCATTGTCACCA